CAGCAGTGCGCATTCCATTGGACTGTGGTAGGGCTCGAACCCGCAACTCGAATGCTGCCAGTTCGTGGTTGAGACCACTGAGCTACGAGGGACGGCAACGGCCATCGTGAATAAGTTATAAGGCCATAATTTAATTGGCGGCTTAAGTTTGGTAAGCTCGTCGCATTGTGAAGGGGCTACCCTGTCCTCTGCACGGCAGTAATGCGTAAGTCAGTGGGTAGTGAGCGGCGCTATATGACATCCAGTAGCTTACTCACGATGGTCGTTGTCGTCCCCCGTAGCTCAGTGGTCTCAACCACGGACTTGCAGCAGTCCAGTTGCGGGTTCGAGCCCTACTAGGGTCTGATGGAATGCCCACTGCTGACGATTCCCGAAAGGATGAAACGCGCGTACCGTACTTTTCCGGGCGTGTGGCGGCTGTCTGAGTGAGTGTAGATGTGACGAATTTCTACCTATACCATTCAACTCCCCCTACTACTCTTCTGTAATATTAAATATTCCTAGGATAATCTGATCTGCTTTGCATAGGCTTATAAGCATCAGCTCAGTAATCAGGCTGCTGGGATAAACACGAGCAGCTCCAAACCAACTAACCATGGTTAACTGAACTTAATATTCTCCCGAGAATTGACAACATCTGTGTAAGCGTGATATCCCACTTTGCAGCAGTGATCCCGGTTTGACTTTAACAGCAAGTATCTCACATCACAATTCTGGGTCACTGGCGGAGTTTAACAGATAGTATAAAGATGTAGATTGCAATGAATTTTCTACTCACCTCAGTACAATGAACTGGGATCTGTTCTTACTAAAGAAAACAGATTACTGCTAATGAAAAATATGCAAACTTTCAACAAATTCTAAGCTTCCTTTCGGCTATCAAGCAGCGTTCGAAGATATGAGTCACTGTAAGAATACTGCATACCTCTTATTATAAAAACTAAACGGAGTACGGTATCAGATCAAAGTGACACACGAGTTCTCCTTTTTAACCAGACAGAACGGAGGTTTTTTAAGTGAGTTAAAGACCGCACCGAGACTACTGACCAGAGAGAAACGACGTCATCATCATTATTAAACACGATAGCTGCAGGTGGAAAACACAACTATGATGGCCGAGATTTTGCTGCAAATTCAGAGATTTAGCATGATGCGAACAATGGATGACATCTAAACCGATGTGGATTCCGCTATAATATTAACAGACAAACCCTGGACTATGCCTCATCCTACGTTGGGGCATGTGCTAACTAATCATCTTCGTTTCTTATACTTTGGTCCACGTGACTTACTGTTGCCGAATACTCCTACAAAGAATGTGAACCTATATACTTGAAGTGTAACTGCACAGATATTCAGTATCATATGGACAGAATAAAACCATACTCTTACCCCGGCTTGGATGTTCTATTAACATCACTGGTCTAAGTATACCCACTTATACCTACGCACGTTCAACCTGTCCATGGGGTCAGCAATATTTCCCACACAATGATAACTTGCACTAGTAAAAAATTGACCCAACCTAAACATCAGAAGTTATCTCTCGGTTATTCACGCATCGATTATTGTAGCAGTAACTGAGAGAATACTCAAAGGAGGACCGTAAAACATTTGCTTTCACATAACCTGATTGCGCAGGCCAAACATGGCTTCATAAAAATAGACTACGTCAACTAAGCCAAATAGAATATTTGTACTGTTTGACAAGCTCTGTGGGTAATGGCAATGCAGCTATTACTGTATTCATAGACAACTGAAAAGTATCCGATAGAGTGTCGCATGGTAGTTTACTAGAAAATTATCGTTACTTGGCATTATGGCTACTTTGCATGCGTGGTTTAAATCAGCGGTCGTATTTAACAATAACAAAGGAGCCCTAGTAGGTATTCATATTTACCTTTTTAGCAATGGTGTAGTCCAAGCTGGCGCCCCTGGTACTCCGCTCTACTTGATCTGCATTAATGAGATAACAGGCGTTAGTAGCCAAGGGAGGCCACACCACTTTAGCTAAGACACAAAATCACGTACACGTGTAATTCTAAAACTCGCAAGATGCCTAGAAAATATGAGCGGAATCACTGACCTTAGAATCAAGGCACTACACGTGGCAGATGACATTCGCCGCAGACAGTTGTGGGGTACTTGTGTATGGAGGAAGCGTGATAGGGAACTTCCGCAGCAAAATACGTGGTTAAAATCGTCATCAACCAAGCACCCTTAATATCGGTAAGTATGTTGAAATCATAGCGGTCAAAACTCACCCAAAAGTAAGGCTATACGGAATTCCAATTTCACGAAAGTGAACAGTTTTAAGGATACATAATGATTATAGATAGAAATTCGTCACATCCAGACGCATGCATACAGCCGTCACACGCCCGGAACCACACTGCACGGCCGTTTCACCCTTTCGGGAATCATCAGCCGTGCACATTTCACCTGACCCTTGTAGGGTTTCGAACCTGCAACATAGCTGCTGTCAGTCCGTAATTGAGACCACTGAGCTACGGGAGACAGCAACGGCCATCGTGAATAAGTTAGTAGCTTTGCCATAACGCCGCGCACTCTCTAGACGTGACGAATTTCTTCTTGTTCCATTCAACTCGCCTTACTACACCTTTGTAAGCAGTACGCGGCTCAAACTGCTTATAATGTCATAAGTTAATTGGTGGCTTAAGGTTTTTAAATTCGTCGCTTGGTGAGGGGGCTGGCCTGTCTTCCGCAAGGTATTAAATTGCAAGTCCGTGGATAGTGAACGGCGTTATATCATATCCAGTAACTAATTCACTACAGTCGTTGTGTCCCCCGTAACTCAGAAGTAGCAACCGCAGACTGGCGACAGTCCAGTTGTGGGTTCGAACCCTAAAAGGGTCAGATGGAATGCCGTACAGTGCTCTTCCGGGCGTGTGATGGCTGTCTGTATGGGTCTGGTGGTGACGAATTGCTACCTATACCATTCGCATTCCCCCGCTACTCTTCTGTAATTAATGAGTAGTTTGAATTTTCTGAACATTTAATCGAAAAGCCATGTTTATTTTATCTGTTGTAAAATACTTCTTTTTAATTTTTTTGAACTTACTATTTTTTGAATTTATTACCTGTGTTTTACTGTACCACATTCGTGGCACGCCCGTGACATTTATTACCCGAACGAGTTGTGGGTTTACAGTTGTCTTATTTGGTAAGTCCCGTGTATATTTTATGCAAACTACGCTTCTAGAATCACGATTAATATTGCAATTTTTACTGCCCACCGCCCTTACTTCTGCAGTCCAGACCGTGCTTTAGTCTATTTGAAAGGCCGGCTCTCCCTGACCCATCAGTAGTACTACTCTAAAGTTCAAAATTTCAAGGTCTGCATGCTGGAAACTTGTCCGATGAAACTTTCCACTGATGGGAAACGTTGGACTTAATACAAGATGAACGTTCAATTTTGACTCACCGAAGCTCTGCGTAGTGGATAAGCAACATCTAACTCTTCGGAGCTCTGTATACTTAAAGCGGTTGTCGCTATAAATAATGAAGCAGGGACTGGAGTTCCTGTTCGACGTTGTGCACAACCGTGAATTCGATGCACGCAGTATCATTCATTGCAATCAAGAAGGAAAAAATGACATCAGGAAAAGAAAGTATTTTTGTTCTGTGTGCAAAATTATGACGAGAATACGCACAAATTTAGTTCGCAAGCTACTCGGTTATATGGAACAAGTGACCTGCAGAAATGCGAATTTGTGAGTCGAAAGAAATCTTAAGAAAGCCTCTGGTAAGTCCCGCGCCATGCTGCGTTAAAACACACTTCCGGATAAAAACCACGCATGAGGAAAAAGATCCAGCTTAGACACACCGTAACATCATCAACAGATCAGCTCAGCAGTGTCTAAATCCATTTTGTTTCCATTTAAATCGGACTACCTAAAATCGAAGTAACTGAATGAAAAACACCAACTTGAATGCTGGAAGCAAAGTCGTCGGTTCTATTTGCTCCTCTCTATTCCAGCCTCATTTTATTTTTATTCCAATTCATGTCTTCTTTGCCTTGCTCCATTCCCGAGTTTCTGTCGGTATATCCCTTAGTTGAGCACGCCGAATTGACAGGTCCTAAGTTCAAGTGAGCTCTGAAAGGAATGGCAACCGGTTCTTTTTGTTTCGTCTTAACCTAGCATAAGTTTATCTTTCGTCCGACGAAGCTATGGTTTACGCTCCACCTGCAAGCGGGTTTTAAGAGCAAACGCCAGCTCAGTCCGTTCAACCTCTTTAAGCTCGGCAACCGCAAGATGCTTTACTCCGAAGATTTTACGCGAGTTAGGAAAGTTGAGCACGTTCACTGTGATACATAACTCATTTGGATGTGCACAGAGTTTCGCGACCTGCTGGGCTATCATAACAAAAAATTTATGGTCCAGAAGAAGCCGCAATAGAATATCAGCTTGCGTTTTCTTTATCTGTTTCTGCTGTTCGTCTTATTGGGTTTGTGTCATGCAAAATAATTTTTAAGCAGTGTTAGGTTTAATGGTATATACACTTCTACATCTGTAATGCTTTTGCGCTTTATTTAAATAATGATCCTAATTTCGTACAAGTTCGTGTGATCATAATCATATTGGTTCTCCAATTACATTAGAATGGTGCTAGCGACTGGACCTACGGATCTGATGGAAGAAAAAAGAACCCTGTTCAAGAACATTTGTACACAAACAATTTATCGTTGTCCTCGCATGTGCCACAACTCGGCACATTTTGTAAACACACCTGGTTATATCGTTACAATAAACATGCTCTGATCCCGTTGTGGATACGGTTTCTCGTTCCACGAGAAATGTACATTTTATTTGGTTGTTTGTTTGTTTTGTATACAACATTTGGGTATGACCAACGACATGTTTAAACGGAGACAGATATCACGTTCAGCAGTAAACGTTTCTTTGTGTATGGATAAAATGCTCAAGTCCACGCAACAACAACAACAGGAGTGAACTACCCCAGTGCTCGAAACTCACGTGAGGAAATCTGGTAGGATCGGCCACAATCTGCTCGGTGACTCTATCCCGTTCCATTGCTTGCCAACAATCGTCAATAATCAGGTAACGATAACCAACGTCTTTCCAACCATCTGATACTAGGCGGTTTGCCGTGCGTTTAATCAGCGCCTCACTAATGCAGTCCTCCGGATAGAGGGCGCAATTGGTCTGGCATCGAAAGCGCTGCCACGACATCCAGCCCATTGGTGGTGTTCGAGCGAGACCATTGTCAAGTGCACCGCAGCAATGAATGCTAAACAGCAACGGAAGCGACAGCGTCAGAAGCCGCATGACCTGAAAGAGGGCAGTACCTGTCAACTGAGCGTATTCACAGTATCAAAGTAACTACAGTTATCTATCAAAGGGAAAACTAATGAGGTTTCTTTGACTAAGATGCACCTGCGGCAGTATTGGAATCATCGTCGCAGTTGTTTGCAGAAATGCTAAAATTATCAGTACTCATATTAGCCGCTTCAGTATCCGGTTAACAATGCAACCTTGATACATGGGTTTTACTGGCTCATTAAATCGAATTGAGATTATTGTGCAGTTTCATACAGATTCAAAGAATTGTTTCGCGCAAATTGTCCTGTTATATTGTCGTGTAATATGCTAGTTTACAACTGTTGCAAAACAACGAGGTTTGTGACACTTTAAATAACGAATTATTCGCCGCAAAGATCATGAAGATTAGTGACTGGGACTCAGTAGTTTTGATGGTTTCTTTCTTCAACGCTTTAATCCTGTATAAAACTCTTCGGTCGGCTCAACGAATGTTCCACCACAAATGACGAATGTAAACAACCATCACTTGCAGCATTGGAAGAACACTGATTTAAAACTTTTACTGTATGTTTGAATTTAGATCTGGAAACTGCTTCAAAACACACGTCAACGTCAAAAACCTTTCGGTCGACAGTTGTGCAGCAGCCTCACATTTACGGAAGAGATAACAAGTTTGTCTCTTAATCTTGCGGCGAGGGTTCGAATCCGCGAAGGGTGGGCGTCCTCGAGGTATACTCAGTCCGCGTGCGACTGGCGGTGATCGCACGGCAGATAGGCGTCGTTACAGCGTATAGCTGACACATTATTATTATTACGGCAGAAATGACAGCATAATTATGAGCTGACAAAATTTATATCAACATAGGGGCGAGCTGTGAGAATAAAGTACGTATTGAGGTTACCATAGTTCTACATCAGTGATAATACGCAAATGGAAACCTATAAATTACGAAGAGGTGAAGTGATGCGCAATAAAAACAAGAATCCAAATGATCAGTTCAACCTGTATGTGATCAACAGTACCATTTTCCGCTTAATGTGACGACAGATGTTCAGTCATCACATACTACTTTGATATACTGACTAAATATAAACAACCCAGTTACACAGGGGAATGTGAGATTCCAACTATGAATATCAGAAGATAAAAAATGTGATGACACTCATTTCATGCGTAACCCTCGGCCGAGTAGATGCGAGTGACAAGGGATGCAAAATAATGTCACATGAAATAAATTAATGACAAACTGGTTTCCGATTGGGGCGTCACACATTACCACGGCAGGCTTAGTGTCACTGTCAGCCGATTTTGGACACGCAGTAGTGGGCGTTGTCAATCGATAACAATCGTCTTGTGTAGCTTTAGCACGTGAGGCCTTTCCATGAGTATGAGGACTGTGAATGACTCATCCGGGTTTACTTGATGAGCAGTCCTAACCAAATGTATCGTAGCTGCGGAGGTAACTTTGCTTCTCAATTCACCGGGTGCTAACGTCGCATGTCTTATTGGTTTGCAGGGCCCTTTTGGAATGTGTTCATTAATTGGAACACCTAGATTTCGACCAGTGCGCTCAAAATAACTGTAACCGGCTACATGTGAATTTGCTTATGCAATGGAAAGTGCACTGCTTCAACATATAGGTCTTCAGTGAACAATTAAGCGATTGTCTTGTGATCATGAGCAAGCGTAGCTCTGCTGCATTGTGTCTTTTTCACTGAGACGCATATTTTCTGGCGGTGACTTTCATGAGCTGGTCACCTTTAAAAGGTAACAATGAAAACCTCTTCTTTTGAACCGTTTCCACTCGATCTCCTTTCAACGACTCACTGAAGAGCTTTAAGCTCTGCATTGGCTAACCATTAGATTGTAGCACGTCAAATAGCAGTTCTTTCTCTGCCACCAATGTGTCTGTTGTGCAGATCATATGAGCCCGATGGAACAAGATTCTAACCAAACAGCGCTTGTGTTGGATTGACAAGAAAATTACAACCTAAGCATTTAGCTGTCCAAGTCGTTTTCAGATAGACTGAGCCATTCGGCCGTAGTGTGAGCGGTACGTCTAAGTATGGGAAACAACTGTCGTGCTCAATTTCCCAACTCACAGCGAGGTTAGGATGCGCAGCATTAAGCGCTTTGGTTACAAGGGCAATATCGTCATCCGAGTACATGGTCAACAATATATAATCAACCTAACGTTTACATATAGTTGTGGACTTGACGAATTTGTCTAATTTCTGTTCAACCATACCCATGAATACGTCCGCCAGCAAGGGGCCTAATGAGCTTCCCATAGCCACACCATAATATGTCGATATGTTTTCCTTGAAGTTAAAACTTACCATCATTTGTGCATAGCAGAAGCAGGTTTCTCAACAGTTCCGTGGCCGATTGCAATCAAATGTTTTTGGCGATTAACTCACATAGACGGTCAACAGTCTGTTCCACTAGAACATTGGGGAAAAGCGACTAAACGTCAAGAGAACACTTGCGCTTGTGGGCTAAGTTGTTGCCTTCCGAAAGGGAAGGTACTCCGTGGGTGTTCGACAGAGTTTATTTTCTTAGAGATCTTCTCACTGATTCAAGCATGCAGTTTGGCCATTTAGCAATATCACGAAACGATGAATTTACCTTGGAGAGTATTGGCCGCATAGGTAGTCCTGCTTCGCGCATCTTCGATAAAACATGCATCTCTGGAATGTGCGTGCCTACTGGGTTTAGCATTTTATATTCAACATCTAAGTTGCAAATATACTCAAGCCACTCGAGACCATTGTTATAGATCGACAGCGCCCACTACTGTGCCCAAAATCGGCTGACAATGGCACTAAGCCTGTCGTCGTACTGTGTGACGCTCCAATCGGAAACCAGTTTGTCATTTATTTATTTCATGTGACATTATTTTGCATCCATTGTTAGTCACAGATGCGTATGCACGCGATGAGTGTCATCTCACGGTCTTTGTCTTCCGGTATTCTTGCTTGAAATTATAAGGGATATTTATATTTCGAATGAATTTTACGTTTCCCTCCGGCGATTTGGTGGTCGTCTTCTTCTTGGATTTTCTCTTCAGGTAAAGTTTCCATCGCTAAGTACACTTGCCCGGTGCCTCTGCTAAATATTCCCTTCTTCTAAGTCTGGAACTTCCCGGACCATTGTTTGGAGCTTTGGCTTAGCTTCTTCAGTTACGGCAAAAATCTACTTGACATAAATACATCAGCGAATGGAACTAGATCACCTGCCCTTAGGCTGCACATCCTCTTATGACATTTCTGACGAGCGTTCGGGGTCGGCAACTGTACCTGAGTCCATTGTTTCGCCAGTCGGCTTGGACGATGTCTGCTCGGGGTCCAGTGTCCTGTCGACTGCCAACGTCAACAAGCGACTAGGCGATGTGATGCCGAACTCATTGATGTAGTCGAAATTGGGTACCAGCTAAATAAATGTAAAACGGGTATATTCCTCGACGATGCAAGGCACAGTCCAACTAATTGGTCTGGTCATTAAGTACAACGGGATCGCGTGGGACGTATAATAGTTCTTTTTATTTTTTCAGAGTAGTTCCCAAACGGTTTCGCAGAGCTGACTGATCAGTCGCATCTTTAAAATAGATGGATTGGCTGCTTATAATAAATGCAGATAAATCTAAATGTTCTATTAAAGCCAGTCGTTCAACAGTGGACTCTACTCTAGGGGACCTGCTTCCATGCAGACTAGTCCGTCGAATGGTTTCATCCTGTGTGGGACTGAAGGTAGGCACTACTGCTCCAGGTCTCAGTAGTGATGTACAAGGATGCGAAACAGCAACCAGAAAACGACAGGCTGTACAGACTCCCCCAAAGGAAAGGAACGCTTTGAACCCGCCGTTTTATGCGCAAGTGGAATGGACACATAAGCATTGCACACTACACAATGACTTGAAGCAGAAAGAGACCCGCGCCATGTAATCTCTAACCGGGATGACCAAGACGGGTGGATGTCTCGTTTGTCGGAACGGATGCACTTAGTATTGGTTGTGTTCGCACGCGGAATAATCCCGCCTACAACACGGCTTCTGACAAGCCGCACTCCCATGTCTGTTCTGACGGTTCGCTGATGTGGATCTAGGTAGGTTTTGCGACAATTGTACTCATTTTGTTGCATTTTCTTATTCGATGTATATGTATTTATACATTTGGGTTATGTAACCCATCAATTAGGATTTTTGAGTCAGAGTCTGTGGCATCTTGCCTCACATTGATTCATCTAAAATTTTAGAAGCTGAAATCCGTCACCTCAGGAGACCGACCTAGTAGTGGCCAACAATGAAGTAAAGAAGAATATAGAATAAGAATGTAAAAAAGGTAAGTACGTTAACGTTGATGAATATGTCACAAGGAACGAGGTTCCGGATCGACAAATCACTGGTAGCCGAGTTTTGTATGAATTGACATTGACGGATGTCATGAAGCACTCTGTAGTTTTGGACTGTTGCATCCAGACAGGAAAGGGGATTGCTTAGAAATACGGAAAACACTTCGTTCATAAATAAATACATGTTACTGTGGTTGCAGACTAAATAACAGTCAAGATTTATTAGCTATATCTATATGTTTTGTTTGGTAAGGCACATTATGGCACTTTCTTGTGCTATTGCGCCGCAGGCCAGAATGTTTTTTTCTAGGCAAAATGTGTTAAAATGTGTAGTACGGAAGCATAAGACGGTGGCGACTGATACCATATCTTAGATATCTGCTAAACCGTTTTCATATGCCATCCCCTTAGTGACGTTTTGTCTCAGCAATTGGGTGGCATTTGCTACAGTTAACAAGGTACGGATCTCCTTATGAAAGATTTCACGTGATTTGCATTCTCGCAGCTTGGACGGCAGGCTGTTCCATGTCTTTTCGTAAACGTTTACGTAAAAGTTCATACGTGCCTGAGTTCTAGGCCCTTCTATCTTTAGCAAGTTCTAGCTGTCTCAAATACTATAGTTTGACCTATCTTTAAATTTTAAATCCAGGCTTTGGGC